CAATATTCAATTCACTGAGAAGTAAGCATGCACTGTCGCAAATTTGTCGCAGTAAAGTGGTACGTGCATGGGCACTCGAGTACTCGACTGTTATCTGACAACAGAAATATAATGGTATAAACCCTTGTTTGGTCAGAAGAATTAATGTGTTTGGTATACAGGTAGTTAATATATTGCGTAGAAATGCATGTAAATCAATTTTCCACAATCTGCTATCCTGTAACCATCACTGATACAACGTCAAGGGCAAAATAAGCATTGACGCTGTCCCTTGTGTAAGCTTCTCTTGTTAACTAACTCCCCAAAACAATTTTTATTCCCTACCTCAACTAATGGAAACTTTAAATGCAATTTTTTAAGCCGTTTTCTTGAAGTATCCCACTGTAGCCTTTAAACCATGAAAACTGGATCAAAAACTGTTGCCTTTCAATTGACGGTGCACGTATGTCATGTTTAATCTCCGAACTTGTAAACAAATGCATTTAAATATATAATATGATTGCTTTTAAGACGGGTGGTCAAAAACTCCGCATTTTTTCATGACATTTTTGGCAGAACCATATATTTCATTCATTGTCAAGCTTTCAAAATCGCTCGCATTTTCCAACTGTGAAACAAGGCTCGCTGATGGGCGTCAGGCAGCGAAAACTGGGAATTTAAACAATGGCGCAGAATGTGGCCCAATTTCCTGCAGTTAAAACACCATGGCGTGATTGGCGCAGGCTTAGTTAAGTGCAAAACAAAGACGTTTTAGAGTCCTTTTATGGCGTTACCTGGACGGCCGTATGGAATGGGAAATGGCCCATAACAATATTTATTAACTATAGGACATAGCGAATAGGAATGGATTGGGACACTGGGTACACATTGCCTGCATATGTAATATTCTTGTAACCAACTCCATAGCCTATCGAAGGGGAGATGGCTGTGAAACTTGTTAGAATAACAATATAATCATTATCTATGTTGGTCATTATTAGATTACATTGATATCGAAGGAACTAGATTCTGTTCCGAAATATCACATACTCGAACCGACCTGACCGCGTAGCTCAGTTTGGCAGAGCATTGGGCTAGTATTCCAAAGGTCGTAGGTTCGATTCCCACCGTGGTCAGGCATATTTTTCAAGCTTGTCTGGTGTGGATATACACTCAGAGTAAGATCACAAGCATCGTATTCACCTGAGTACATTACACCAACACAGAAAAAAAAAGAAAAAAAGTATAATAATATACTAAAAGTGCCACCTGGGGCGTGGGGGAGGATGCGAGCTACGGGGGAGAGTTCGAACTACGGGGAGAGTGCCTCCTTAATCGGTAACTACCACCTTACTCACTTTACTACACAGAGACAGACTGACAGTTTCTGTAAATAGCATATATATTTGTGTAGTACTACCAAGTGTGTGTGTGTGTGTGTTGTGTGACTGTGTGTTGTTATGTGTGTCTCTCTATTATTACAGTGTATAAAAATTTAGATCAATTATGTAAAATTTCGCTGAAAAGCCTTTTAAGGGATGTGAAATTAAAATACAATAACAATAACAATATACAGGGTGTATCAAAAAAAACTGAACAGATTTAAAATTGCTCTCAATTTCGCAAAACAGCTATTTGTATCTGTTTTTTTATATATATAGCTTCTTTGGGTACTTATAATTTAAAATAATGAAAAAAAATTCTCGAACTCAAATTTTGTGAACCAGGGGGGTGTGTCTTTTCCAACAAAATAAAAATGGCTCGCGCACAAAATTTAAAAGCTGCAATCATATTTTGAGTTAACAGATGGAAAATTTGTCGGGATTTTAATTACTGTAGAAAATTTCAGACAATTTGGTTTAGTTTAAGCCCCTTAACTATTCACGCAAAGTTACAATTTTCCCGAAAATTCAGCTATTTGCATGCTTAATTAATGCATTTGCCTAATTTGCATATGTCAGCAATATGCAAATTAGGTAAAGGCATTAATTAAGCATGCGAAAGGCTGACTTTTTAGAACAAAATGAATAGTTAAAGGGCTTACACTAAACCAAATTGTCTGAAATTTTGTACGGTAATTAAAAACCCGACATATTTTCCATCTATTAACGCAAAATATGATTACAGCTTTTAAATTTTGTGCGCGAGCCATTTTTAGTTTGTTGGAAAAGACACACCCCCCTGGTCCACAAAATTTGAGTTCGACAAATTTTTTTCATTATTTTACATTATAAGTACCCAAAAAAGCTATATATGTAAAAAACCGGATACAAATATGTGTTTTGCGAAATTGAGAGCAATTTCAAATCTGTTCAGTTTTTTTTTATACACCCTGTAGATTGTATTTCTTCCACTGACTCGTCAATGTGACAGCTGCTGGAGGGATGCCTTCACAGAATTGTCATGGCGAACTCCTATGCTGCTATTTTACCGGCTGCTGCTGTAATTGTTGTTGCTGCTCTGTTACTAATCTGTTGCCGCATTCTTGCTATGCAGAGAACCTATAATTGCGTGCATTTTTCACAGGAATCACAGTTGCTCTGGTTAGGTCTAAAAAATGTATAAAATTTACACTTTTGTATAATTTTCCTCCATATTTTTCCAGGGACGTCGGACAGTAAGCGACTTTGGAATGGCGATCTCTATATTCGCCATGACATTACTGGACTTCTCCATCAAGGACGTCTATACACAAAAGATGCCTGAACTATCAAGTCTACAACCTACAGTCCCCGAGAAGCGTGGATGGTTCGTGGGTCCCGCGGGGATCCACGCGGGATGGATGTTCGCCGCAGTTATCCCGGCAGTCTTTGTGAGCATTCTGTTGTTTATGGAAACAGAACTGACGGGAATTGTTTTGAACAAGAAAGAGAACAACCTGCGCAAAGGCGCCGGGTATAATTTAGACTTGATGGTTGTGGGTTTAGTATGTGGGTTGTGTTCGTTCATGGGCCTACCATGGATCTGTGCGGCGCCCGTCAGGTCGGTGTCGCATAAGAATTCCCTGACTGTAATGAGTACCACGCATGCGCCAGGAGAACGGGCACATGTTGTGAAAGTCATTGAACAGCGAGCCACAAACATATTTATACATATATTTATCGGTAAGTCATTTCTTTTGCTTTGCCACTTGCAGTAAGAGCCCCAGCTAGGGGTGGAAAAAAAATTTTACTTTCTGGGACCGCAAAAGAACATTGAAAATGTTCTGCAAACAATCGGGTAAATCGACACTCGGTCACTGTAACTGTGTGACACTAACAAGTTGGCAAACTGGATGCCATGCTATATTTTACAGTCAAACTGGATGTTTTCTTGCAAGCAACATTGCAATATTGTCTCACAATAGTGCAGTTTTGACAGGGAGATTGCTGTGAGTAATTTGCAAGCGACGAGAACAAATTGCAAGTTGAAATTCACAAAAGATTTGTAAACAAAGCTTTCTGATTGGACTATTAGTAAAAAGGAAGCCAATCAAATAGTCTGAGCAACTGGATTGGTGCTTCCCTTTTTCTTATAGTCCAATCACAGGCTTTGTTTACAAATATTTTGTGAATTTCAACTTGCAATTTGTTCGTCTCGCTTGCACATTGCTCAGAGCAATCTCCCTATCAATATTGTAATATTGTGAGACAATATTGCAATGCTGCTTGCAAGAGAACATCCGGTTTGACTGTAACAGATAAAATACTTCAATGAACCGAGAATCTTAATGATACTTTTAGGAATATAACATGCATAAAACAAATTTAGATAACTTAATGTAGTAATTTCCGGCAAAACAACATGTTTTTGTAGAATTTTGAGCATTATTCTAACCTTTATGACTCGTGTTTACTAGGTTTCTCGGTTCTACTAGCTCCAGCGTTAAAAGCGATTCCTATTGCAGTTTTATTTGGAGTATTCGTTTATCTTGGCACAATATCACTGTCTGGAAATCAGTTTATCATTCGTTTGGTGATGTTCTTCATGCCGCCGAAACATTATCCTGACTTCAGATTTGTACGCAAGGTAATCTAGTCAGTCCAGTGCTTTTATATTACCATTCACGTGTGTTTTTTCTCAATTGTGTTTGGCTAATTTTCCTGCAAATAACTGGTACAAATGATGGTCTGAGCATTACGCACATTCAGTGCTCAACAGGCTTGTTACAAGTTGTTCCAACAACTTGTTATCGTCCTGCAATTCATCAATTTGTCAACAAGTTGTGAGCGACAACCTTGTAGCAACTTTATTACAGCATTACAATTTGCTGACAAGCTTGCTACAAGCCTGTTAGGCATTACTCGTACCTTGATCAGTTAAAGTGTCACTGACACCAAACTATGATTTTTGGTATGTGTAATATTTGGGCCATTCTAAGATGACAAGTAATATATCTTTATATAGTCCAGCGGAAAAGTAAAAAATCATGCACTTTGTGAAGAAAGCACCCAATTCACAGGAAGTGTAGACTTTAACATGATAATGAATCTTAGATATGGAGGCATCACCAAAACTGATGCTGACGGCTTAAAATTTAGGATTTCTTATATTCTCTTATTAAACTCTATTACTGTTTAAAATTGTGAAATTGCAGGTTCACATATAGCAAAAATGACTTGCATGATTAGAAAGCTTACAAAAAACTACATATAAGACTTTTAAACGGCTGATTGATTTTCCAAGCAGTTTTCCAGTTATTGCTATTTAAAAACGTGATAAATAGGCAAAAATCCCGCCAAAGTCCTGGACACTAGCCCTAAAACATATTTTCAACCGCTCATAACTCCAGAGGAGTTGGAAAATCAGAGTAACTGCTTAAATGTCTTATATGCAGTTTTTTGTAAGCTTTCTAATGACGCATGTCATTTTTGCTATATGTGAACCTGCAATTTCACAATTTTTAATTGTATAAGAGATTAATAAGGGAATATAAGAAATCCTAAATTTTAAGCCGTCAGCATCAATTTTGGTGATGCCTCCATATCTAAGACTTATTATCATGTTAAAATCTACACTTCCTGTGAATTTGGTGCTTTCTTCACAAAGTGCATGATTTTCTCAAATATCTGTGCATATCCGCTGGACTAATTGTGAAAACCTCATCTTGATCAACTTTTTCCCTGTCAAAGTTTCAGGATATATTTGGAGCAAAAACAAAATTTGCGAATCATCTAATGACACCATACATAGTAACTACAATGAAAAAGTTGATCAAGATGAGCTTTTTTACTGTAAGGATATACTACATTTCTTATTAAAACGACTTCACACATACCAAAAATCACATTTTGGGTTTGTAGTGCTTTAAAATTCGAGTTCATTGTCTTGTGCTCATGTACAGTAAACCCAACTGAAATCAACTTTATAACATCTTCGTAGAAATATAACCTGCTTAATTCCATCCATTTTTCGTTGACAGGTCAGTGGCAGCAAGATCCACCTGTTCACATTGATCCAGTTGTTGTTTTTGTGTGTTCTCATTGCTGCAAAGATGACGTATATTGCTCCTTTGTTTCCTCTGCTCGTTATTTGCCTTGTACCCATCAGAAAACAGTTGTACAGAATTTTTAACCAGAAAGAATTGACAGAGGCAAGTATTTGTGAAGATTCTGCTACATCCCTATATAATTAATTAAATGCATCTATAACTATGTTTATACATACCCCCAATATCCTCTCCCCAATATCCCACCATATCCTCCTCCCACCCCAATGCCCCCAAAAAAAAAGTGTCCGCCATGTTCATTGTCTTTCTATTTTTCAGTTGGATAACGAGGAATCACTTGTTTACGAGGATGATATGGACGAGTATAATATGATCCATGTCCCAATATGAGGTGTGGATATATGTGGATATAACGTGATATATGTACCAAAACGAGCTGTGGTAACTATGGATATCTATGAATATAATAGGATACCTGTTCCATACGAGGTACCATTTATGGATATAATATGATATGTGTCCCTGTATGAGCCGTGGTATCTTTGGATAGCTGAGTATATTATGTGGTGGTAAATGTATATATGGATATGATATGATGATATAACAGGACCTGCAGTGATTGGCAGGGTACCATATCGTGCAGGCGAGTTAATGTTCCTGTCTGTATATGTAGTCATTAATTATCCCTAACTACCGCATATCACCCAAATTACTTGGCATTATACCTAATTACAATGCATTATCCAACTTTTCATTAATTAAATTAATTTTCAGCTTACAATAGGTGAAATAAATATTCATAGTGTTTCCCAAAACAATTATATTTATCGCTATGCGAACCAGAATTTACAGAGATTATTTAATCAGAATGAATCATGAACTCTCATGTAAATATTTGTAACTTTTTCCTATGATTTGACCTTTCGTACAACTTGTAAAACATTTTCTTGAAACCTGCGATGAAACTTCTACTAAAGAGTTCGTATAATTATGTTATTCGTTTATATTATTCGTTTAATTCTTACTAAAGAGTTATATGTCTCTTTGTATATACTCAATTATTTTGACAATTTTAAAAAAATTCTGTCGAGCAAAAAATTTTCAAATTACGCAAATTTGATTATTAATAAATTTTTTTGGCTTGAAAGATTTTTTAAAATTTTCAGTACAATGTGTACACTAAGAAAAATCATTTTATGAATATTAATTAAAATTTGGGGTCACCGATGTCTTTTTCGAGAAAATACAACTGCATGAGCACTGTAGACATTTCAAACAGCGAACTCTGTAAAATTGGAATGATAACTCCGACATTGTTTTTGAAGCCAAGATGGCAGAAATTGAAGCCCATCTTTTAGGTATGCTCTAGCTGAATGTAGAACCATGGCCCTACGAAACTAGAACAACTGGTCTTTCAGAGTAATCAAATTTTAGAAACTCATCTTCATAAATAGCAATGTTATTTGACGAGTGAAAAACAAGTTCGGAATCCCCCCTCCCCCGGAGAAACACCGGACTATCTATGAGGGATTTATGTTTTTCTGGACTATCTATGAGGGATTTGAACTGAACACAGAATGATATGGACTGCAATTGGCCTTTCTCACGTTGACGAATATCCGCCATTTTTGGGTGCAGGCATCTAATTCTCTTTAACCAATGCAGACAATTAAAACAATGTGAAAAGAAATTTTCCAAAATAAACTAACCATTTACAAAGCAAATTTACCATCATTCGTCCAAAAAATTATAAAAGTCGTTGTTATGTGGACTTATCTCGCAGACTTCGGCTGAAAAGCCACCCAAAAATGACGGCGTGAGAAAGGCTAATTGCAAAGGTATTTACCACTAAAAATGAGCATTCATATGCAAAAATTGAACAAAACATCGATCGGAAAACGTTAGTCATTTTTCAGCTCCCACGAAACCCACGCGAAAAACACGCGTGTGTTATTCATACGAGAGATCACTCTATTAGCCATTCCGAAGTTGATGAGTGGACTGTGGACGAGTGTTAAAAAGTGCCCAAATTAAGAAATGAACCAAATCACTAAAAAGACAACCTCAAAATTAGTAAGTATACAAAGTTTGAAAACGTTTACGTGAATACCCTTCGAATAATAAGCTTTCGAAAATTGTGAAATTACTGATTAAAAGATTGTACATTACATTTTACATGATACAGTACATTTTATATTCGAAGGGTATTCATGTAAACGTCTTCAAACTTTGTATACTTACTAATTTTGAGGTGGTGGTTTTAGTGATTTGGTTCATTTCTTAATTTGGGAACTTTTTAACACTCGTCCCCAGTCCACTCATCAACTTCGGAATGGCTAATTGCCCGCCATCTTGGCTTGACTCAATCATAGAACAGTTTTTGAGTTATCATTCCAGTTATAATAGAGTTCGCTGGTTTCAAGTACCTTAAATATAAACGCTATGGTCATATACTTTCGACTACTGAAAGAATATTTTGTGTTTAGTATGGCTCTTATGTTAGAAATTACTTTGCAGGTTTCAGCACTGAGTATCCCACAAAAACATGGCTAATTCAGAATATAGCTCATGCAAACATGCACGTCTTCAAATTTTCGTACTAGAATATTTTCGAAATCACACGTATTTAAGTTGTCCAATATACATTGTATGTTCGTATATTTGTATGTAAATTATATAAATAAGAAGTCACTTTATACATTTATAAATAATTTTAAATTTTGTACATATATTGAAACATAGTTTGGGTAAACAAATTCAAAATCTATTTTGATCAAGAACAGTAATGTGTTGAAAGTATTGTCAGTGTTATACTGTAGATTAAGTTCAGTTATAGGTATTTGATATAAACACAGTTTTAGCTTAGTTTTAGAGTCTCTAAGAGGATGTCTAGCAGAGGAAAATTGCAGAAGATAAAGCAACGGCATTAAGGTCAGTAGTTTGATACAAAGAATACGTTGAGTGAGATATTGTAGTGCCTGTACTTGTTTTTGTGTTGATTTTGAATCCCCGCTGGTTGGTTGCTCGCCTTCGGAAAACATGGCTAGGAAACAATGTTTCCTGGTTTGACCACCTTCAGGAAACATGCCTAGGAAACAATGTTTCCTTGTTTGACCACTTTTGGGAAACAAGGCTAGGAAACAATTTGTTTGCTCACCTTCGGCAAACATGGCTAGGAACTATGGCTACTAGGAAACAATGTTTCCTTGTTTGTCCACCTTCTTGATTTGCTCCCCTTCGGGCAACATGGCTAGGAAACAGTGTTTCTTGGTTTGTCCACCTTCGGGAAACATGTCCAGGAAACATTAGGGCCATTTATACGGAACAAAACAAGACGCGACTTACATAAGACGCGACTTAGGTAAGACGCGAGTTTGTCGTATAAAAGGTACAAAATTCTTATGTAAGACGCGTCTTGGATAAGACGCGTCTTACATAAGAACAGGTCTTTTAGCTGTTTTTATTTAAGTCGCGTCTTAAATAAGAAATTTTGGACAAAAAGTCTAACTACACATGCCAGAAACTTGCAACAACGTAAAATTTAATGCCTTGCATATTAAAACAAAAACAACCAAAACAACATTATAGCTATAGCAAATAAATAAGACCAAAGCCGTAGAGAACCATTTATGCGATAACTCCACTTATTTAAGTCGCGTCTTATGTAAGTCGCGACTTATTTTGCCACGTATAAATGGCCCTAATGTTTCCTGGTTTGTCCACCTTCATGAAACATGACTTAGAACCCATGTTTCCACAATGATGTTTGCTTGTTAGCGTATGTTTGCCCACCTTCAGGAAACAATGCTTCTGCAACGACGAATCCTTTGGGTAGCAGCGCTCTCCCCTTGACAAGTAAAGTCATCTGGCGTTAGACAGAATAAAATAATAAAGTAGGGTGCAATGCAACTTTTTTAATGGTTAAGCAATGTTTCTATGACAATGGTTCCTAATCGGCCCAGGACTCGTAATATGTTTGCTTTACCAGTACAAGCACAATAAAATACTTGTGTGACTTAAACCTTTATGGTAAGTTGTGTTTTTTACTACTTCAATTTCAAGCTTTAACAGTTATAGTTATTTTAACATGTGTATCTGAAAAAGTTGCATAGAAGTCAATACACTCCATAGTTTAAAACTTTGTGTTGTATTTCAGCTCGGAAACTGTCGTCGGGTGTTCGTATTTGATGAGCACTTTTTAACATACGACGATCATACGAGCTCGGTGCTTCCACTTTCCAACCAATTTCCCCAGCCCATGAAGTTCTTCGGCGAGGGAATGAGATATAACTTCTCCCTGTATTCCAAATTTGGTCTGTATTCATCGAGCCATCTTCGGTTTTACGACCGTTTCCGACGTAACTCGGGTCAAGTCGCTTAACCTTCGCAAAGGGTGTGGCGTCATCGGGTCCGGACATAACACAGCTTCCTGTTGTGTGACTGCTGGAAGCCATCCTATATAGAGAAAACAAGTTTTATCATATTTGTTATGAAAGTTATTGGTGGATTTGTTTAAAGGAATGTGGCAATAAAAAATTGAAAGAACTTTTAAAGTTGTATATGAAGATCCTTTACAACTTTTTCGTACCTTGCTTGATTTTCGAAATATTTTGACCAAAAACAGTGTGCAGTCGGCCATCTTGGTATTATAATTGACCTAATTTACTGAGTTTTTGATGGCGTCACAAGCAGGGTAAACTTGTTAAAACTTCTTCATGTGGGACTAAATTTCTTCAAAAAGTTTCCTAGACTGTTGTGAGTTAATTGAGTACTAAAAAGACTTCGGAAAATCGAGTTTCATATTGATAATGACATGTGGTTTGCAAGATAAAAATTTCGCTTTTTATCCTACTTGTGACGTATGCATATCGAATGCATATCCTGTATGATATCCAAGATGGCGGAGTGCACGCTGCTTTTGATCAAAATAAGTCGATTTATTTCGAAAACCAAGCAAGATACGGAATAATTGTAAAGGAAGTTTATATATCATTTTAAATGTTCTTTCAAATAAGACAAACTTAATTTAATGTTTGTGATGTCACTCTGAGTGTCCATCAACACCGGGTAAGTAGCCTGCGAACAGGCTCTCAAGCTGAATTGAGAGCCTGCATCGATGACTAATGAATTTGAATATCTGCGTCTCAAATCGTGACGCGAAATTCTCATTGGTCAGATGCTATAATTTATATTATTCCGCTGAGCTCTATATAAGTCAACTGCTAGCACTATGCATAAAAAACACATTAACTGATCAAATTGGTCCTGGCCATCTTATCTCAAAGCACGAAATGTTCTGTTTTGAGAAAACAGTATTTAAAACATTTAAACTTTTGCTTCAATATCTTATATTTCGAAAAACAGTATAAACTGTACGGTCTAAATTTAGTTTGCATGGTCTAAATTTAGTTTGCACGAAAGTTGTAAACAACACCATATAAGGATAGACATTCCATATTTGGAAAAACGAACGTTACGGGGCAGATATTCAAATTCATTAGTCATCGATGCAGGCTCTCAATTCAGCTTGAGAGCCTGTTCGCAGGCTACCGGGTAAGCTGAAAAGTGAATTGCTTGGCCACGGTGGGAATCGAACCCGCGTCCTTTGGGACACTAGTCCAATGCTCTGCCAACTGAGCGATACAAATATATCTTAAAATACACTGATATCGAAGGAACTAGACTCTGTTCCGAAGTATCATCAGCTCGAACCGACTTGACCGCGTAACTCAGTTGGCAGAGCATTGGACTAGCATCCCAAAGGTCGTAGGTTCGATTCCCACCGTGACCAGGCATATTTTTCAAGCTTGCCCGGTGTGGATATACACTCAGAGTAACATCACAAACATATTTACCTGAGTACATTACACCAACACACAAATATCAAACTTAATTTATATTTAAAGCCTGGTTTACACACTATTTACACTATCAAAGTTTTTCTGTGATCACAGTAAGAATTTTGCATAGGTAAATTTTAAGTTTGAAGGATTTGTAAGAAGTTTTTTGAGGGAAATGACTCATTGTTTAACACCGAGTCAATTCCCTCAAACATTTCTTACAAATCCTTCGAAACTTAGAATTTACCTTTGCAAAATTCCTACTGTGATCACAGAAACTTTGATAGTGTAAACCAGTGGTGTCTTTAGGGTAATAGTGTAAACCAGTGGTGTCTGACGCATATAAAATTCAGTTTGAATTCATATGAGGAACCATGGCTCCCAACGAGATCTCGCCTTGCGTCAGGTGGCATCTCTCAGTCAAGTGGGATAAAATGTTCCATACAAAGACTTTATCCCACCTTGACCGGAATGGACTTGGCCGATTTTGACCAAGGCCGATTTTGGTGGAAATTCTGGGGGAGGTGGGAAACTGTGTAAGGGAGGTGCAGCACTCCTAGCTCATGGCCCCCATGGAATGTTAGGGGTTAGAATGTACCCCTGCCCCCACGTATTCGTGAATGATGACTGTACAACTCATCCAATTTTGCCATTCAATACATTACTACAAAGTTTCTTTCGAAAAATTTCTTAAAAACACAAACGCAAAGAAATTAAATTTGTCAAATTTTAACTTACCATTCTCAAGGGGAGGTGCACGATTTTTCAGGGGAGGTGCAAAAAATCTCGGGGGAGGTGCAAAACGATCTCAGGGGAGGTGTGCACCTTCCCCCACCTCCCCTCAAAATCCGGCCATGATTTTGACTTATAGTATTTGAACGGCATCGTTGGAAAATACAAAAAATAAACATCCAATAGACCTAAACAGACATTATTAAAGTCGTAACAATACAAGCTCATTGGGCTGTTGCACCTAACCCCTGAGAACAAGCCTGATGTGTCTGTTGATCACAAATTCATATTTTTCTATGTTTAGCTTAGCAAGAACTGATCTGCCACAAAGGACGTGTGTTACAAGCTGAAGAGCGACCAGAGGTATGTATGTGATTATGTGCGCCATATCGTGTGATCTGTGTCTGAACTACCTGAAAGATATCTCGAACGTGCGGTCCAATCTAGGTATAGTAGTCTACTATATATTAAGACCAAAATATTTGTAGATCTGTTTCTCTAATGCAGCGAGTCAAAATTTGTATCATACACCTAATACTGCCACTAGAAATTTCCACTTACTTTTAAACAAAAGCGAATATTACAGCAATTCACGTTCTATTCCAAAGTAATTTCAATGTTTAACAAATACTGGCGCGTTGCCATAACTAAACACGTCTGTAATTGTTGCTAGCTAGCCTTCATGCCCCGGTCTATTTGTGGTTGGCATGTTGTGAAATGAAAGCAATTAATAATTAAGTAGTTCCCTGCTTGAAGCTGTCTACTGTTTGCTTGGCTAAGAAACTGTTGATTTATAACCGGCTTTATATGCAAGGCTTGCATAACTATATTTGACGTTTCACTGTTAATATCCCGAAAAATGTAGTAACATATGGAGTAAAACTGGGTTCACAATAGTTCCACGTTAAATTCTCCCAGTCTTGGGCGCCAAACAGTCTCGTTTTTGATTGGCTTAGCCGTTCAATCGAATGAGGTTTTTTTCTTAATAGTTACCCTTGAATCTGATTGGATGATTCATCAATGTGACATTAAATACTGAAATGACATTCTTTGGCTGAATATATATATACCTGTAAATTAAAAACATAATATTTAATAAATATTCTCCTCAACGTCGGTGAATAGTGCAAGGGGATATTCACGGAAACGCGAAGCGTCGAGGTCAATATCTTTGCACTATATATTCACCGGACACTGAGGTTAATAATTGTTTTAGCATGTATCATAACGAAACAAAACTGACCAAAAATTAACGGAAATTTTTTTAAAACGATTTGTATTTCAAATTTTTTTTTCAGCTCCCGTAATATAGTTGTAAACAAACCGGTATTTATTTACAGGTGTTAGTAATTTTATTCATTAGAAATAGATTTAAAGAATATCTCTACACACTGCTAAACAAAACTTTGCGGCCTTCTTCGTGTTTGGCGAAACTGTAGCTTCGTTTGGTACAAAAATTTGCTCGGCTGTAACCGAACGAAACGGGAAGCCATTTTGTTTTTGTCCGGAAGTGAATAGTGCAAGGATACCCGCGTATTCAACAACCAATCAAATTGCGCGAAAAAGCACTATCAACTCCCCGTGTATGTGCTAAAGTATATAAGTAGTATATACACTGTATCGGAAACTCGAAGGAATTAAGATTTGAAAACAAAGTCAGCGATGATGATGACCATTTTGTTTTTGTTCGCTTTTCAACAAATTTTAAAGAAAATATCTTAATATAGCCATCCAGCATTGACAAAAAATTGTTATTGTTAATTATATTCTATGCTTAAAAACAAGAAATCTAATGATTCAATTTGAGAACTACCTGCTAGTATGACTTGTAATGTACGTTTTTGCTTTGAATTAATGACTGTGCCACTTAGAATGGATAACTATTTGTTGTTTTTAGTTTTAAAAATGGCTGATCCTTAAATGTAAACAAATTTTTGCATAACGCACTAACAGACGTGAGTATTCCCAAATTCGTACGATTCTTTTTCCGTTTTAAATTTTTGTTAATTTGTTTCATTTATAGTTTCATTCATATCATGTTTATATTCCATACACTTCCAAGTTGTTTTAATAATAATTTTTTTCATTTAATATTTATTAGCACACTGCAGGCAGCTGCTCATGCATGAACTTCCAGATTAACTTGCGACCACGCGAAACACTCGTCAAAATTCAGTCACTCTAAAATTCGCCGTGCTATTCACGAAACGATGTTCCGTATCAGCCAAACATAAATATGGCATTCCTGCCGAATATCTGGACTCTCTTTTTGGTAAGTATATTAAAGAAGATTAATATTTCTCATTGCTTTACAATTTTGTTCATAAACAAACCCTATGTTTGTCCTATATATGTCTATGACGTGAAGAACTTCTAGAGTCTATTAAAAGTTTACACTCAATAATTTCCATGTACTCTTCAACTATTATTCAATCAAATGAGATTTACCAATACCTTAACGTAGCAGTACCCAAGTATATATACATGAACCTGTGGATAGAACTCGGCAACTGGCCTCTGTAGCTGAGGCTGGCCTCGGGGCCTCTAGTTACATGCATTTTTCACAGCTGCCAAAAAATCTTTGGATGTCGGTTGTATACCTTCTAGCCTACGAAGGCTGCGCATGCATGGATAAGCTTTTTCTGCCGTTGTGCCACAATTGAATAGAAAAAACTTCCATTTATAAATACTAAAGTTTCATCTGGCTTATACCAATCAAACGGACAATTTAAAAAGCTTTAATAAAATCACTATCTCCTTCGTACAACCGACCAAGTCAGAAATACTTCACTGAGCCCGACTAGGGTAAAGCCATGTTAACATCGCCTACACAAATAATACTCTGCAAATCCTTGTTTATTTTTCATGAACCGTTTTCGGTTTTTTTTTTTTCAACAAAATTTAACAATGAAATTTTCCATATAGCAAGTTTTGTGTCTGTGTTGTATATGGGCTTTTTAGTTTATGATTCATACTAGCTGGCAAGGTTTTTCTTTACAAGTGCATGTTTGGCTTCTCATGTAAGTGCTATATAGAAATGGAGATTAGGCCTACCTGTAATATTGGACAGGTCGCTTTTTTTGAGAAGCTATGCTTAACATCAAGCTGTGAGCACTAACTTTGTTCGACATTTATACGTTACTATTTTTTTATTGACTTCTGCTTTCACTTGAACGTTTGACAAAAAAAAAGAAGCTGTAGTTTGAGTGCCAAGAACGCCTAGAGTACTGAGCCTCCTTATTTGCAGCTGCGACCTTCAGGGTTTTAGCTAGGATTTTATAGATCTTGGGAGTGTTTCTAAATTTCCAGGGTTTAAGGCTGGTTAACACTATCAAAGTTTCTGTGATCACAGTAGAAATTTTACATATAAGGTAAATGCTAAGTTTTGAAGAATTTGTAAGAAATCTTCGAGGGACTGACTCGCTTTAACATTGAGTCAGTTTTTTCAAAGGTTTCTTACAACTTCTTCAAAACGTAAAATTTACCTATGCAAAATTCCTACTGTGATCACAGAAACTTTGATAGTATAAACCAGGCTATAGACGGCATTTAAAGCTTTCTTTGACACCAATACAGTTCCACTAGATACATCCACCTAAACATGAAGACATCACGGATCACTTTGCCAATTTACGCAAACTAAATTTTATCTTGCTTTATGACACATTTAATAGAAGCAAATTCTATCTTGTTATAAGTTATACAAATTCCAAGTCATATCATGTAAATTGAAGAGAGCAATTTTTTATTCAAATTCTAAATTTTCGATCAACAAAATTAATCGAGATGCTTCGTTGTCTTATCAAATGGAAAACTGTTTTGGGAAAATGAAAAAAAATCTCTGTATTCTAAAAGGAGTGAAATTCGAAGTTGGTTAGTCTAAGAATTTAAGCACTCGTTAACTACAGTACATATTCACTGTTGTAAGTTTATTTCAAAAATAAAGTGGTTTTAATTTTTAGGTGCAACGCCATCCACATTAACTCAAGGCTGTTGCCTAGCACCGATTTACATCCCCTTCCTATTATTTTAAACAAATGACTAAAATCAAACATGGATGTAATAGATCTTCTTTAATTACTGCGAATGAAAGCCGGTGTTCAAAAATAATCACAAGTGGAAATGAATTTTCACCTCTCGTATTATAGTCATTAGTCGGCTTTTTCAATATTAATTTAGGAAGGTCAGTGCGTATTTTAGCGCGTAGTTGGAAAATGCGGGTTGCGGATTACGGATTGCGAATAGAGTGGAAATTGCGGGTAGGGTGGAAAATGCGGATTGCAGGAAAATGTTATTACAGAATATTTCGCAGGAAATATTCTTACATCTTACAGGAAATTTTTGTCATCTTCATATATACTGGAATGCCAAATAATTTACGTATTGTAAAAATTCCAAAGCGCTTTGCAAGTCGAGATTGTCTTGTTACGAGGTTGAAGTTTATCATAATGTGTGGCACAATTAGTGAGGCGGATATGTGTAAAATTATTGATCAGTAGTTCCCGTTGAGGTTAAAAGCATCAAACTTTTACAATTGATGTAGTTTTATTTGCTTAATAGATATTTGAAGTGGGCCATCGCTATTTTGCTGCTAACTCCTGAAAACGGGTGATTAGTGATTATCTTCTATTGAATTCTATTATACCCAAAAAATGTGAAATTTTGTATTCAATTATAACAAATATGACTTGCATCATCAGAAAACTTATAAAAAACCCGCATATAAGACGTTTAGACAGTTTTTTGATTTCTGAAATAGTTATAAACGTTATAATAGTTAAAAACGCATTTTCAAACATCGAATAATGAATTAGGGACTTTCAGCGAGATAATGTGCCTAATTTACAGCAATAACCATTTGAAGAATAAAAAAACTGTTTAAAAGTCTTTTATGTAGTTTTTTACAAGCTTTCTGATGATGCAAGTTATATTTGTCGCGATTGAATTCAAAATTTCACATTTTTTGTTGTAGTAGAATTTAATAGCAAATAATGCTAATAGCATCGCAACTCTCTAAAAAAAACAGTTTCACGATGGCCCCACTTTTGCATGTTGCTTGTTCTACTCATAAAAAGATGCTACTGTGCACAATTTGGTGCTTTTAACCCTCTTCGGAAACATCCATGCACATATCCGCCACACTAAATACGTCCTCTGAAATCCACACGTATGCAGCAAGTTTTATATTTGAATTACACAGTGAACATGATCCATTCTGTGAAATCTGCAATATTGAAAAGTTCTTAAAAGAGGCCTTGGGACGGGTTTGCTCGAAGCGCACCCCTGACGTACTGTGTTACTAAAGGCAGGTTTCATAAACTTGCAGCTACTCTACTAAAAATTTCCCGAAGAGATGTGTGGTAAAACCTTTGCATATCTTTTCTTCCAGGTTTTGACAAGTTGTTATGTGCTGCCATTACAAACACAGCTAGTGAACATCAGTGCGGCCAATGATGACGGTAATATAAAATGAAGTTATATACCTCTCCACAGAAATCACTTCAATATGTGCATTGAGCCTGGATATTTAAATATTGATCACTGGGTTGGGATAAAACGCGGATCTCTAGGAAGAACAGTTTAGAACTGATAGAATGATCTAGTTATTTTAGTGCAGGTTTCCTCCTGTAGTAACACTGGATCAATAAGGGATGTTCCTTACTGGATCTCTAGAAAGAACAGTTCATAACCGATAGAAGTATCCAGTATAAATAAAGTTATAGTTTAGTTTAGTTTGGGTTTCCTCCTGTACTGGACCAATAAGGGATGTTCCTTAATGCACCTCTAGGGAGAACAGTTGAGAACCGGTAGAATTATCCAGTATAAATAAAGTTAGTTTAGTTTAGGTTTCCTCCTGCAGTAACACTGGATCAATAAGAGATGTTCCTTACTGGATCTTTAGGAAGAACAGTTCAGAACCGATAGAGCTATCCAGTATAAATAAAGTTAGTTTAGTTTAGTTTCCTCCTGCAGTAATATCGGATCAATAAGGGATGTTCCTTACTGGATCTCTAGGAAGAACAGCTTAGAACCGATAGGACTATCCAGTATAAAGATAGTTTAGTTTAGGTTTCCTCCTGCAGTAATATCGGATCAATAAGGGATGTTCCTCACTGGATCTCTAGGAAGAACAGCTTAGAAGTCTTACTATTGTCCAAAAATTGTTAACGGAACGAGTTGTTTTTTATTGTTTATAGTGTGTAAGATTTTCTTCAAAGACCATCAAAATAAGAAATGGAATAATAGTGATGGATTTTGGAGTATCACCACCGTCTTTAATCAAAGAGTGACTGACAACCGAGATGGAAGACTCTATATTGGAGAAGAAGCCGCGATATTTCGTTTATTTGTTCCTGGGTTGTATAGTTCTAACCTTGAAACGATATCGTTTCAATTACATGGTCATCCTCAAGTTTTCGTACGATATCGAGCTGATGGCGGAGTGTATCTGGACAGGAGTAATGCAAGTCTGGAGTTTAGTAAGTGCAAAAATTGTAGCTAAGTTGACTGTCTGTCTTGCCTGACCCGGATGCTAGTGTTACTGCGGCTACGTAAACGACCTTTTTACTATCTGATCAATCGGCCGACCAACTAACTAAGGGGCTGTTTGTATGGTCCCGCTTACCCGGGATTCAATGAAGTGCGACGTATTTTGAGCAATTGAAATAAGTCGCAGTTCATGATCTAACAAAAGTGCTTGTTAAGCCTAGTTCTCATTCATCGCAAACTGTCACCGACGATCGGCGACGCTTATCACCGATGCTCGCCGATCGCGAATGCACGAAAGTTCTCATACATCGGTGATCGTCGCAGATGACAGCCGATGTGTTTCGAAATTTCCCACCAAGGCACAAAATGGCCCCGTTCAACGTAAAGTTCATGATTTCTGTCAAACTTCAGTTGATTATTTCCTTGCTTGTTGAGGAAAAAACAACTTTTACTCATTTCTCATAGGTTTTTCAAGCAGGTGGCAGTCGGTAATGGTCGCAAGAAACAAACTTTTTTGTTTCCTGCGATGTCATCGCCGATGGTCGGCGACGATTACGGACAATCGGCGATATAATTTTTGATGTGTTCTCATAAATCACAAGCGGTCGCCGACGTCGCAAAGCTCCCATCGCCGACGGTTTGCGATGAATGAGAACTAGGCTTTACAAATTGTATGAAATTCCATGTTTTAGACAAAAAACGAATGCTGTTGAATGCTATTAATCGTTTTCTTCCACTACATAACTTCTAGCGCGTTCCTAATTTCGTTTAAACAATATTTAAAGTTATCTAACTTTTGTTTAAGGCTGAAATACGTATTCCAATTGCTGGAAATACGTCGCACTTCATTGAATCCCGGGTAAGCGGGACCATACAAACAGCCCCTTATGGAGGTGTTTATATGGAGATGAGCCAGCCCGGGTAACCGAGCTAGCTCGCTTTGCCGAGCTGATTTCATCCCGTGTTTACATATCAACCAATATAAACAGCCTCTAACTAACATACCAAAGAGCTAATTCACTAACAACTATAACTAATTGACTAACTGACTATCTAACTCGCTAACTAACGGACTTATTAATCAGTGGCGGTTTGCGAAATATTTGTTGCAAAATTGCAACAAAAATTACCTCGTTTAACTCACTAAGCAACTTACTTACCGAACTAATTTATGCACTAACTATCATACTTGTTTAATAAACTAACTGACTGACTTATTGACTATAACTATAGCTATATGCTAAGTATACAGAAAAAGTAATATTAGGATTCTCTTCACTTTAGACATGTCTGCATCATTCAAAGTTTTGAAATCAAACCATTCGGATTTCTTTTACTTGAGATCCACAGTCTCACCAGGACTAAATATCTCGCTTAATAATAATTCGAGTGAATTGTCTATGTCACCGAATGGAAGCGAATTTCAACGTGTATTTCCAGGTAAATTGCATTAGTTTTGTGTTTGGCCAGCACAACCTGTATGGACGACTTGCGCTTTAGACTAAATTTTGATCTAAGTAAGAACAACGAAATCTATCACCACAGCTAGAAAGAGCGTCTTGGAATTAGTAATATTACAAAGTTTGGTTGCGAAATGTTGTAAAATACGGAAAATATAGCCCTTCAAAGTTGGCAAATTTGTATACTTTTGTATTACGTGCATGCGTGAATTGGTAACTAAATTAGTTACCAATTTCCGCACGTAATAGAAATGTATACAAATTTGCCAACTTCGCAGGGCTATATTTTCCGTATTTTACAACATTTCGCCACCAAACTTTGCAGTTTTTCTAATTTTGATAACTTCTTTCCGAAAATATCCTTTGTTATTCCCAGATTAAAAATTTTTCTAAAGCGCAAGTCGTCCATTTGGGAAAGGATTTTGTAGATGGAAATTTTTGAGTGGAACTTTTTCGCAACTGCTCCTGGTTAAATCTAAATAAATGTATATCTATATGAAATTTCAATCTACAAATCCCTTCAACATTAGTTTGATCGAGTAAGATATCTATGGTAAGGTACCGTAAAATCCTGATGCCTTACCATGGCATGATCTTAATAGTATATATACATGAACTTGCGGTTAGAGCTCGACAACTAATGCTCATTCGGTCTCAAGTGCCCAAAATTCCGGCTGTATTTGGGAAAACCTTTAATTTTAGGCAGTGTTTGTAAATGAAACCTCTGACCTTCCTGGTAGGGTGTCCAAAGTTTGAGGGTTCACCCCCGTCTGTGGGCGTGGACGTTTTGGCGTATACATCAACTAAGTTAAAGGGGCAGTATGATCAAAATTTTTATTCTCTTAAACCAAAGGTTAAACGAAAATGCTCGTAAAACTGTATAATAACTTGTTTTGAAGATTTTTGTTCCCATGCTTAGTTCTTGAGATATTTCATTTTGTTGTAACCATGCACATGACGTCATCTACTCAATTACATATATAATGAGATATCAGTAATTGTTATGTATTTTTGATAGATTTGTTAAAAAACACAGTATGCTTAATGATGTAGGTTAAATTAACAAACGCGCCGCATTTTTCGAACTATTTTGATAAAAATAGCAAAGATACACAACAATTACTGATATCTTATTATATATGTAATTGAGTAAATGACGTCACATGGTTACAAACAAAATGAAATATCTCAAGAACTAAGCATGGGAACAAAAATCTTCAAAACAAGTTACTCTACAGTTTTACGAACACTTTCGTTTAAGAAAATAAAAATTTTGATCATACTGCCCCTCTAACCTGGGCAAACTTTATTTATACTGGATCGCCTTATCAGTTCTAAATTGTTCTCCCTAGGTATCCAGTAAGGGTCATTGTTTCGTCCAACTTAAGTTACTATAGAGGAGGAAACCTGAACTAAACTAAATAGATCTTGGACAGCTCTATCAAATATGAACTGTTCTCCCTTGAGGTCCAGAAAGGACCAGCCCTTATGGTCCAAATGCTAGTGGAACGGAAGTAAGTACCGGTACAGTACCCGTTTTTCTGTACCCAGAGAAAACATGCAGTTTTTGGTAGAGTCAAACTGGAAGCACTCATATTATAATTGTAATGAGATAACTCTATATCGAGGGAATCAAACCCAAGCCACAGAGTTCAAAGGGTGCTGATGGTACAATGATTAGCACATGCATGTGCCCTGAAATTAGCTGTATTACCAAACATTCAAAATTTTATTGGCATGCATGTTAATGCGTTTATTTATAGACAACATTGAAAGCTTAGAAGTCGACACTGGCTTTACCCAACGTAGCTGGGCCGTTACCACGCGCCTTTTCAGTCTTGATGGTCCTGACTCAGAGATTCTGTTCTCTAGTCCTCCAAATGACACAAACACAGTGACTAATATTCTACCATATACCTTGAACACCTCTCCCAATACATCGTATCGAATCCAAGGATACTGGCGTCCATATTTTAATGGTTGGTACAATTTCTCCGTGAATTATAATTTGCAATACGAACTTATCCTTGAACAAGACGATCGCACAGTGAAGTCCTGTAATGGCGCAGAAATATGGTATGTTCTAAGCCAACTTTATTTATACAGGGTGGGTTAGGATAAACAGAATAAACACATTTAAGAAAGTAATATCACAATTGTTGTCAAGATAGAAGTAAGTAAGCTGGAGTTGTGTTACATTTGAAGGAGAAAAATAGATTTTTAACAAATAAGAAGAACGGGATATATATATATATATATATATATATATATATAGCTTAAGATTTTGGTTTACGAAACACAAACAGTGCTCAATACCATATAGATAGAGCGTAATATAGTTTTTCGTTTTACCTCAAAAAACG